TCATTAGTTTGTTTGACAATTAAACACATAAAAGACTGTATGTGGATTCTGCAAAACATAGAATTTTACAACATAAAATTGCTTCTCACTAGTTGTGCCAGTTCTGACCAAACTGCTAATAAGAGCATTAATTGGCTTTGAAAATTCTAATCACATTTAATTGAAAGCAAATAGCACAAAATTTGTAAGCAACACAAAACCTCACATTTAGAATTTGGTTTAATAACTAATCCTCACTTATTGCGTAGGCAAGAAATAAGTTCCCCAAAATTTACTACTGACACATGCCAGAAATCCAACTGAGGTGCTTCTGAGGCACTGGATAGCTAGACACTGGGTCTACAGAACTCTTCTGGTAGCAGAGTCCCTTGAAACAAGCAATTGTGGCAGATGCTGAGGGGTTTCTCCAGCTGCCTCATCTCAATGTGCCCTATTTCTGGGAAACTCTGCATTCACTCCAACCCACAGAAACACTTCAGTCAACGTGCTGTCAGCGCTTAAGGTACATTTTTAGAGATAAAATAACCATAAGTAAATATGACGATGGAGCTCCATCATAATAGTTAACACTTCAGGATATTAACCTATGTTTGCAAAAATGTGAAAACTGGAAAATATTTTTGCGCTCATAGAACTTTTTTGACAATTCTCCACTCAATTATTAATTGAATTGAGAGCACTCTTGCCCTTTGAGGCCCATTCCTGCCATTTCACAACCCCTTTGTGGCCTTAGAGAAGTCCCTTTAACTTTGTGGAGCTGAGACCTTGCATCACACTCCACCTATGCATTCCATGTCCTCCTTTCACTACAAGAGTTGCCAAGCCCCTGAAAGGGATTCTGTTTGGCATGGAAAGGGGACAAAGAGACAAATTTGAGGATGCTCTGAATATAGAGAGAAAGAAGACATCAGAGTGTGCTCACAGATGAAGTGCACTCTCCTTTTCTTTCTGTTCAGAGCCGTGAGCAGTCTCATCTCCATCATTTGTATTGCCTTTCCCAACCATCTCCTCTCTACCATAAGCTGAAGCAGCTATGGCCTCTCTATAGGTTTAACACTTGCCCATGGGAGAACTTCATAATTGTCTGTTATGCTCCATACAAAAAGAGATATATGTGCACATAAGAAACAGTTGCACTTGTTACATTTGTTACCACACAGGCCTGTAGCGAGGGGGTGGTTTTAGGGGTTCAAACACCCCCCCCCCCGAAATGTTTCAGATTTTTAAAAAAACCTGGTTTATTCATGAATTTTAACTGGTTAACCAAATCCCCATGCTAAGTCTATGAGATGCAAAAACTTAAGAGTCCCTCCAGAACTGCAAGCACTATCACGCAAATATTGACAATTTATTCACACTGTCGTTACTTGCAGCAATAGCCGATGTAGTGAAGCAACCAAGTTGGGGGGGGGGGGTGAATGCTCTCATTAAGGAGGCCAGACTTGGTGGAGGTGGTTGACAGGGGTGGAGCTGCAGGCTACTGAAAGCTGCTCTGCCCCCTGCTGTACTCTTTGCTTCAGCGTGAGCTAGGAGGCAGGTTTCAACCCACCACCCCCCTGTGAAATTTTCAACCAACCCCCTCCCCCCCGCGAAACTTTCAACCCCTCCCGAATTTTTTTTCTGGATACAGCCCTGTTACCACCTATTATATATTAAAACTAGCTTTGCAAGTATTCTTTAAACACCTAGGGATGAGCAGGCACAGATCTGATTACAATTTGCATTTTTGTCCCTCTATAATTATTTTTGTCAATTGCAGGCTTAAATTTTGAGACCAATCATTTTCCACCACTAAACCTAATAGGATTCCTCATCTTGCAAACAAAAATAAGTTTCACCTTCATGTACATTTACGTTGCTATTGTGAAATGATGAACGACTGCACTCAGATGCTGTATTGGACCTGACGTATTTGGCCAGCAGCTATGTTAACGTTGGAAGCAAAAGCAGCAGCAATAACATGGACAAAATAGCACGAAGAAAATGATGGCTGCAATGCAATGGGAGGCAGACCCTGCTAGATCCACTCCACCTGTAAGTTGTATGTCTAACTTCTTAAAGGTTCAAGAGTTCAGGCAGTATGTGAGGGCTGGCTTGGACAATCACTTGCCCCATGGCACAGGCAATTATCCAATCTGCCACCACCATCCCACATACACCTTTCCTTGAAAGCCAGGCATTTGAGGGACAGGGAGCTTGGGACAGGGAGCTTGGGACTGGTGTCCTCCTGCCCATGCCATCTCTACCATACACAATGCCAAAGAACCGCTAACATAAAAGGCTAGCCTTTACTTGCAATAAAAAGATTGATCATGTTGTTCTGTGCCTTTAAGATATTTCCATATTATGGTGACTATCACACTATTAAATAGTGTTCTTGGCGAGGTGGTGCCAATAAGGCACTGCCTACAATAGGGGACACAAGACATCTAGGATTAGATAGATATTAGGTGGGATCTAGCACCTGCCTTCCATGTACAGAAGGGCTTTGCTAACAAAAGCTTCTGCTCCATCATCACAAATTTTCATTTCTTCGAAACCCACAGTCTACTCCATTCCATAGTAAGAGCTTGGGAGAAGGTTCATGAGGGGCAGCCAGAGAGGGAACTAAGTGCATACATTTGCTTTTGCCAGCCCACTTACACATAAATCTGGATACAACCTATTTTTCTTTTTCATTTCAGAGAAGTGGTACTTGTCTTTCAGCAAAAAATGCTTAATTCTAACAAAAGGTTTTTGCACACTGTTACAATTGTATTTATATATATAAAAAATAATCTCCAGAGGTCCGATGTTTTGCAACAGCACGAACACTCTATCTATTACAGAAGTCATATTGAGATGCCATTCCAAAGTGTTTGCAAAAAGAGCTATTTCTACTACAATTAGAGAAAATAAGGAAATGTCACTCAGAAATAACAATTTATCATTCTTCTGAGAACCTGAAATGAAAAAAACCTATCAGAAATATATGTTGATTGAAGAAACTCAAAATTATGAGGTTCAGTCTATCTTTTGTTAGAAACCACTTAACAGGAGAACCAAAATAAATACTCACGCCATGTGCTCAACTCCTCCATAGTGGGTTATTGACTTGTCAAGATTCCTAAGCACTTTATCATCACTTTACTTTGCCTCTCTGCATGGAACACCCACCACACAAACAATGAAAAAGGTCACAGTTTACTCACAGAGTGAACTATAAATAAACAATATTTCCAAGGGGTAGTCATGTTAGTCTTTTCAGCAAGAAGGATAAAAAAAGAGTCTTGGAGCACTTTAAAATTGACAGATTTATTGCATCACACTTGGTGAACAAAGATCTTCTTCGTGAAAGCTAATGTCACAATCATTTGTTTGTAAGATGACACAAGACACTGCCTGAGATGCTAGTTTTGCTACCTAAATAGCATCTCCTGGCCCAACCCCACCACCATCACCACCACGACCCTATTCCTAGCCATAAGTCACTGCATGTGATGGAGGTCTGTTCTTCTGTCGATCTGGACAGAAGAATGGCGGACTGCCATTTCCATCCCTCTTCTGTCAGTTATTTCCTGTGCAATGATCAGAAGCAGAAACTCTGTTGCAATTTTTCCTCTCCCCAGGATTGCTGGCAGTAGCAGTATGGAGATGGCAGTGTGCTGCACCATTACTTGCAGCAGCTGATGGCCATTAAGGTAGTATTGGAGGGGTTTTTATGATCATGGCAATCATCAACACGATACGCCATCCACTTCTGCACCAGTTATAGGTTCAGGATCCCCATGAAAACGGAAAAATCATAAATTCTAAAAACTTTATTTTTTTAACCTGACAGAACGCCTCTCTATGAATCTCTAGGTCTTCCAGAATAATTCTATAGTCAACTTTTAACTATAGAATTGCACCGCAGGATCTATCAAAGCCTGGAAGTATGTTCTCTCTAGGAATCTCTAGGTTCTCCAGTACAACACTATGATCAACTTTTGGTAAAGGTTGATCATTAAGTCACACTGAAATACCTAGAGATCCCTAGAGAAAATATATTAATTCAATTGGTGAATAAAAGCTGCAAAAGTTACACTCACAAGGCTGTACACAGCCTTCATGAACACAAATCATTTACGGATCCATATTTCTTAAGTTACAAATACTGTACTGAATTCCAGTCATTGTTTTTAAAAAATAGACATAACACCCCTAGCTGTGCTGCAACAAGGCTATGAAGACTTTCTAAGTTAGATCTGAAAGTGAAGCAATTTTCCCTTCTACCACATCCTCCATTGTCTCAAACTGAAGGGGACAACACTTGTGACAACACCAGGTCTGTTTGCAGTTATGGGTTATTGAGGTGGGAAAATATTCTACAGTCCTTGGCTACTCGGACTTCTCGGTGGTGGCCCCCCGGCTGTGGAACGACCTCCCTGCTGACATCAGACAGGCGCCTTCCCTTCTGTCCTTCCGTAAGAGCCTGAAGACCTGGCTTTTTGAGAAGGCATTCAACTGAGCGCTACGGCAACTGGTAATTGACAACTGGAACGGAATTCGGATTACGATATTGGTTATGATTCTATGATGTGACGGAGCGGATTATTTAGTGTAACCAGATTATAGTGTATTATTGTTGTATTGATTCCCTGTTTTGCCCTTTTTGTAAACTGTTTTTATATGTTGTGCACCGCCGCGAGTCGCCCTAGGGCTGAGAGCGGCGGTCAATAAATGCAGTAAATAAATAAATAAATAAATAAATAAATAAATAATACTCCAGTCACTACCCTAAATTACCTTGACAAAAGTTCCATGGCTGTCAAAGAGACATTGATATGGATCTTCCTCTGTGAAAATAGAAAGGAAGGTCCATAATACCCAAAAGCTACTTATCAACCCCACAGGAATCACACGGTTGCTATATGCCCTCAAGCCATTTCCAATTTGTGGCAACCTCCACCAATTTTAATGTTAGATATTGTTTGTATTAATTCTCTAGAACATTTAAACATAACTCAGAACATAAATGGAACCCTGAACTTGCATTTTTATTAGCTGTTATATCAGAATCAATTTAGCAAAATCCACACTGTAATGTAAGCACATAATTTTAAAGTTGTCTACAAATGTATCCATAAACTGCAGTTTGATTTGAGATCAAGGCAAAAGAGGTATCATCCCAGTTTACTTTCAATTGCTTTCCCCTCCGTAATTCAAGATTATGGTTATAATGGCTTTTAAATCAAAAGTTGCAAACCTCCGTCTACAACAAGAACATGACCTGTTACATATGGAGACTCCAGAAGAAATACAACTGCTTTGGCAACTTCATGGGGCTCCCCAAATCTCCCGAGAGGAATAGCTTTCTTCAGTTCTTCTTCTTTTAAATGTGCCGTCATATCTGTATGAATAAAGCCTAAAAGAGTGAAGAGACGTTTATGAATCATAGACCAGTTAAATTCTGATATAAATGGAGACCACCTATGTCTTAACTTTCAGCTGTGGTCACTTCAAAGTAATTTTTTTAAAAAATAATATTTATTAAAGGTTTTTTTAGTGGGAAAAAGGTTAAAATATTTAAATAAAAGATAGGAAATATAATGGGGGAAGACAGTAGTATTGGGGCAAACCAGGATCTGGATACAGAAGGATGGGGTAGGTAAAAAGGGGGGGGGGAGGACAAGGGAAAGAAATAAAATGATAAAAAATATGTAAAAATAGGGAGGGGGAGTATCTTGTATTCCAATCGTCTTCTTTAGTCTCTTTGTTGCACTGCATTTCCCCTTTTCTTTGTTCTCGATCAGAATCAGGTTTTTTTTCCTACTGTCTCGTGTTAGGTTTTATTCATATAGTCTTTAAATAGCTGCCAGTCCACTGGGTTAATAGGTATCCTTGTTTGTTTTGTCATTAAGAATGTTAATTTATCCATATCCATTAACTGAAGCATTTTTTTCACAAAAAGAGACCTGGACTACAAATTAAGTAGAAAATATCTCCTACAGTTATAGCCTTTCTGCACAACTTTTCCCATGCCTGCTAAGAAGTAAGTCCATTACAGGATTGAGGGTTTACCACAGTAAAAACAAGAGACATGTAAACTGAAAAAAGGAACAGAGACACTACATGACTAATGCATTTATGCCTTGGGTAAGGAGGCTGAGGCTAAATTCTCATATCCAGGATTTTTTGTTAGTGCCATTCTCTATGCTGCTAGAGGCCTGATGAGATGTCAAAAAGTATTAATGCTCAAACAAAAAAATCCTGGAGTAGCTAGTTGGAAAAAAGTTACAATTCAATATTTCAAAATAAACAGCAGAGTTTATCCAAGAACTCGCATTACTCTCTGTGTGACCTGTATATACATAAAATGATTATAGTTGTTTGTTTTTTGATAAGCCACTATTATTTCATCAGTTCAGTCATGAAATGATTACACATTTCTGCTTTAGAAAAACATGAAGTACAACGCTTGCCAAAGCAAGCTGCTTGGAGCCTATTCCTTCTGGATGGGTTTTATCCATAAAAGCAGAATGCATACATAACAATTATAAAACAGATCACTATTTTATGTACATTCTCCTCATAGATAATATGTCTATGTCCCTCAAAGGAGCCCATTCACACAGTATCTACAGAATCTTGTTCATTTAGGAAAAACTAGGCACATATTACCAAAATAACATTGGGTCATTCCATGCCAAGTGGTCTAAACCTTCCCACCATCATGTCTCCAATGTTGTTCAAATTTCAGCTGTAGCGCAAGCCAGGTGTTAAACTAAGTTTCCCAAAATTAGAGGTCCCTAACTGCAATAATTGCTGATCTAGACCCCCTTATCTGAAGGGTAGTCAGATGGGGATGCACAATGTATTATATTTTGTGTGCATGACATATTGTGTTGGTCCGCTTTTCTCTCCCAGCGGGGGACTCAAAGCAGTTTACAACATTATTATTGCAAAATTTAATGCCTCACATCCAGAAACCTAACATAATGATAATAACATACAACTGAAACCAGCACCCCCATCGGCATAGGGGCCACGCCCGACAGCCATGCAGTAACAGCCACAGGTGGATATCTTTACTACAGGTTCCCAAGCCTGTCTTCTTCAGTTACTTCATCATTCTGAAAACATCACTGATCTGCAACAGAATGATTTCAGGGAAACTATATTGCCAAAATTATGTATCACAAGGTATACAGTGTATATATTAATTCTAAAAGGAGCTCAAACCAGTTGTTGAATTCTACTGTTACTTTAAGGAAAAATATATTTGGGATATCAGATGTTGGGTCGGTTAGGATTTCTCTTATTCTTTGGTTCAGTGTTTTAAAATATCAATTAAACAGTGAACACCAGAAAAAGAATAATGATTCTCATTGCTATGGTTTTCATTTTAAAAAATAGTTAAACCATCTGGATACTACAAATGTCCCCTACATCGGTAAGATTATAACATCACCACTTGGCTCTTCTTGGAGCTACAGTTGAAAGAGTCCAAAACTTTATAAATTAATCCCAATCTGAGTAGACTGAATCACATAAAATCCCATTAATTAAACAAGTCCACTCTATCAGAAATTGTATGACCATTTTGAAGTTGGCTTTCAATTTTTTTCCATTTTTGTTTGACAGTGCTGTTGCCACAGGCACTTTAAGGACTACGATGAAGAATGAAACTGATCATGGAAGTCAGTAGGTGGAAGAACTCCACTTTTCTTTTACCTAAAACATTTCATCTTGCTTATCTATCTAGCCTCAACAGGCCTAGCAAATGAGAGCAGACTACTGAAAATGCAAGGAGGAGAGAGAAAGAGAACAAAAATCCAATCAATAGTCATAGACTGTTCAAGACTAGATGGTGGAGGAACAGCAGAAAGATGTTATAATTTTTGTCATCAAAATGAAGGGAGACTTCAACATCTAGGTGAATTGTTACTGGGGAAACTTGAGAGTGTGTTTTCTTGATAACTGTAAAAAAATAGAGCATTTCTCTTTGCACATGAAGGAACTGAAACAATTACAGGACAACGACTAAGATCTGAGAGCATGAAGAAATCCCCATATTGTCATACATTCAGTATATAAAAGCTGGGAGTACACACATTTTGTCATTACAATATTATTAATGCATTAACTCCCCAGTGACATTCTGTGGAATAAGTAACTGAACTAAAAACTAACCTGGGGCAACCATGTTAACTCGAATGTTCTTTCTTGCTACTTCTTTGGCAAGAGAGCGTGAAAATCCAACTAATCCCGCTTTGCTGGCACTATATACACTCTGACCTGAGTTGCCCTTCAGCCCAACAATGCTTCCTTTAAAAAAAAGCAAAGAGAAGAGAAGCCAAATCAAATTACAGAAAATTTACTCAGATAACTGTATTTACTTTTTAAATGCTGATTTTTTAACCAAAAGATGTTAAAATAGCATATACCATATGCCTTTGATTCTAAAATGCCATCAATTGTAAGATGCACACTAATTTCAGTACAGAAAAAGCTTTATTTATCTCTGTATACATATAATAAAAGTCAAAGCATATATGTATGTTTGTCTATTTGTACCATAAAGGGTGTTGCTAAGTGAAGTGGCCCTCTGTGATGTCACCGAATGGGCTATTTCTAAGTGAAGGATTGACAGTTGCTAGGTGAAGTGTCCCTCTGTGATGTTAATGGGAGAGAAAGATCACATGTTTGAGAGGAAGGGAGGGAGGGAAGGGCAACAAAGAGAGCCCTGTTGCCATGGAGAAATTGTGAAGAAGGCCCTAACAGAACTGGAAAAGGGAGAAAGCAGAGGGAGGGAGAAACGGGAGGGAGAAAGAAAATAAATAAATAAAGGGGAAAAGAAAAATAAAGAAAAGAGGAAGGGAGGGAGAAGAAGAAGAAAGAAAAATAAAGGAAGGAGGGGAGGAAAGGAAACGAGAAAAGGTATGAGAAAGGAAAGAGAAAGGAGGAATGAAAGCAGGTAGGCAATGGCCCCTCCTCTAACACCTGGGGAACACTGGGTATATATACCAGTATATGTAAAAAAAGCATTGGTGAGTCTAATATTCATCCCATTTTCAGAGATGTTTATATGGGGGGAAACGTGCATCTTAAATTCAAGGACATAAAATATATGACTAATGTGCATGAAGGAAGTCTAAATTTTGCAAAATGGATTATAGGTTACAGTCATGCACTTTTGAGTAAATGTAAGTGGATAGTATATAATCATGAATACCCGCATGGTTTTAATTCAGAAAACACCAAATAATGCAAGTAAATAGTCACTTGCATTGGAATAAAAAAAAGTATTTACAGCACCAAAGTAATTATATGGACAAAGGTTTTAATCTATGCACAAACTTTATAAACAATGTGTCAAGTTTTGAAGTCAGTGTCCATACAGACCCAAACAACAAAGTAGTTAAAAGAAGTATACTGCAGTAGATTATCAGTCAACCAGAACCCAGTCACCCTGAACTATCAAGCAACAAGCACAAAATGTAGAAATAACACCCTAAATAAAAGAGTTGTTTTTACAATACAGAAAAACAGTAAAACAGTGCTATGTTAAGTTTGTCTTTATTTTTTAATCTTGCTTTTGATTACTCTATTTCAATATTAATATCATGTCAATACAGAGTTTATAGTATTGGCATTGTATTGATTAGGCCTATTTCTAATAGTAACTTTCAAGCAACTCCATTTATCCAGCATTTCCCAATCCCCATGGGTGTCTACTATTTTCCATTTTCTTCCTAAATTATATACTTGCCCATCTCCTGTATATTAAAAAGTTTAAGCAGTCCTTAAATAAAGTCTATCCTTTTTTTCAAACAGGGCAGTAATCATGTAAAATGTTACTTATCTTTAATTTGCCTTCCTGCATATTTTTTTAGCAAGTTTCACTGAAAACATATTTTGCTTTAAGAGATTACAAATAAGATGCATTTTCGGTGCTGAGTGGCTTTCCTATGATCTATTACCCAGCTATTGTGATAAACGCTCTCAGTCGATGTCATTAATTCTAGAGAAAGAGCATCATTGTTGACAAAATGATTGAGGAAATGATTTCAGATCTAAAAAAGAAACTCAACTGATTTGTTCCATTTATAGACAATTTCCTTATCTTATTTGTCTAGATGATATTTAAGTAACTCCAAATAAATCTACCTGATATACTCCTTTGGATCCAACGAACTGTGGGTACAAGCAGCAATTGTTTTTCAAGTGCTTCCTGTTGGCACTTTCAAAAAAATCCAAGGAGGTAATAAGTAGTTTCTAATTGAATTTTTCATCTTTCCCTCAAGCATTTTCATGTCAGGATTTCTTTGTTCAGTGCTATGAAATAAAGGCTCAGTGCTATGAACCTTACAGAACCAAAAGGCCACCTTTAATTCAACCCTGTGTCTACAAAAATGACACTGGACTTCATCTTGATAATTTTTCACCATTCACATTTATACAAGAGAATTTCAATGCAGTGTACATTGCTCCTAGGAAGAATTAGCAAAATATAACAAAGGCAAACATACCTACGTTAACAATAGCACCTCCCCCCTGTTGAATCATATTCTTCACGGCAGCTTTGCATGTCAGCATCGTTCCCAAAAGATTGGTATGAAGCTGGGACACCATATCTTCAGCTTTGGTTCGTAACAACAAGCCATCCCTAATTTTAAAAGGATGGCAGGAAGGATGGAAGAGAGAGGTGAATGCCAAGTTATGGAGATATAGTTTTCATTAGACTTAAGAAACACACTGGATACTATGCTAAATCAAAGTTGCTAGCCATACACTGAAAAATATCAAAGGCAATTAGATTATTAACAATTTATTATAATTGGCTAACGATTAAGCCTAGAAAATCAATTTTGTGTAAATCATAATAATTTCATTTCGAAGCTATATATGCAAGCATAGACAAACACGGTTGCCTCACTCACTATAAGCATACTGTCAATGCAGTAAAATTTAAGACTCTTGAGGCTTACACAATACTGATTTTGCTATTGTTTAACACATCATTTGTAACAGAGGCAGATAAAGACCTTCCAAAAACTCAGTTCAAGTCTCAGATCAGCTAAGACAAACTGAAACAAATTATAGGATTCTCTCAGGGCACAGCAAGGCCAAGCCAACTGGCTTAAGCCAAAGAAGGATCCAACTCATTTACAGATATTTCAATTTTAGGTCTTTTTAAGGCCTCAGATTTTATAGACCTACTAAAGCAAATAGACAGTACAAGTTTCTGCTTTACTTTGTATATTTATTCATGTTAGATGTTTTCAAAAACATGGACTATTGATATAAACTGACCTGTTAATACCTGCAGCATTAACCAGATAGCTTATGTGTCCTAAGCTCTTCTCCGTTTCTTTAAATGTGTTTTGGATGTTTTCTTCTTTGGAAACATCGCAGCTAAATGCTAAATGACCTGCTGTGTTGGAATAAAGTTCACAATGAGACAGATGCCCTTTCAAGACATTCAAAGACCAACTTTCAATAAAGAGAGCTGTAAGCATGGAGATTTAAAGCATAATAAACAAAATAGATAATATTCCTACACTTACTGGAACAACTTCTGCTATTAGCTAGATAGAAATCTTTGTCAGAAAAAGTGAAACCATTAATTCCAGTTGAAACTTACAGAGCCCTAACCAATCCTAAATTGAACCAGCTGGTTTGGAGCATGATTCAAGTGATTTTGTTCCTTTTTGCAAAAGAAACATATTTCAACACAAATCGATATAGTCAATTGAACCCACAAGGGTTTAAGTGGGTTAAACACTTGTGCCAGCAGGACTGAAGACCAACAGGTCGCAGGTTCAAATCCGGGGAGAGCACAGATGGGCTCCCTCTGTCAGCTCCAGCTCCCCATGCGGGGACATGAGAGAAGCCTCCCACAAGGATGGTAAAACATCAAAAACATCCGGGCGTCCCCTGGGCAACATCCTTGCAGACAGCCAATTCTGTCACACCAGAAGCGACTTGCAGTTTCTCAAGTCGCTGCTGACACAAAAAAATACAGTCAATTATCTACATTCACTGGGTTTAGGAATACAGAATGAAAGTGAAGAGGCTGCATTTTTTGAAAAGTTGTCGTTTTGTTTTTTACCTAAGATAACATCTTTCTAGGACCCCATCCACACTACATTATACACTTAGTTTGAAACAGCATTATATGGTCACTGTTGACTAGGCATGGGCGAACTTTCTCACTTAGGGGCCGCATGGCAGGTTTGAGTGGAGTGGGGGAGCTGGGAGGGAGGGGGTTCTCCCCAAGATTCTTCCCTTCCAGCAGGACTCGCTACACAGAGAGGAAGAGAGCTTTTTCCTTCTGTCATGCCCACCTCTCACTTTCACTCTCTTTGGCAACACACCCATACACACACACCTCTCCCCTTGGAGTCTCAGCCTTTACACATAAAGGGGTGTGTGGGAAGGAAGGGGGTCCATTTGAGATGGGGGCAGGGAGAAAGCTGAGAGGCAGCTGAAGAAAAGAYATCTCCCTTTCCTCCCCTTCCTCTTCTCTTTTGGAGGCAGAAAATGAAAGAAAGATGGYAAACGTTTGTATTCCAAAAGGATTGTCCTTGGTCAGGATGAGATGGTGGACWGGAGAGAAAAGAGSAMATCCAMAMWGSSWACWRSWGAWKRATYWTRCTAGAWTRKWAYYGSTGGAAGAGACCTCCAAGGGAKATCCAGTCRYACRRWCTGCRTRMCWYGAAASCAMAGKWCAAYGMACTCSCAATAGACAGCRTCTGCGGAAAWGTCTSCAGYGAAYGAGACTTCAWCWSWATAKGAMRAGTCSAWGCKACTRCCRYGGYAGTGMCWTGGKCTYKTCGTWTWSWGWTGAAGTCTCRTTCRCTGGAGKCWTTTCCGCAGAYGCTGTCTATTGGGASTKCRTTGTYRTKTGSTTTCRWGKYAYGCAGWYYGTTGGACTYGWTMTCCCTTGGAGGTCTCTTCCASCRRTWMYAWTCTAGYAWRATYMWTCWSYWGTAGMCKKTKTSMATKTSCTCTTTTCCCAGCTAACCATCCCRCAGGAGGAAGGAAAAAGAGAAGYAAGGAAGGAAAGGTGGAAGGGTTTACCCATACCTGTTGTAGACTCATATAATGCAGTTCAATGCGGTTAAATATGAGTACACACTAACCATATAATGCAGCTTTAACCTATATTATATAGCAGCACACATGGAGCTAAGTAATCATTAGATTTTCCAGCACAATTCTACAGTCAGCTTTTGGCACAATTTGAGCACAGAGTCGTACTGGAGGAACTAAAGATTTCCAGAGAAAACATTTTAATCAAATTCTGTGAATCAAATCTGCAAAAGTCAAACTCATAAACTAGTTTTTTTAACCAGTGAAAACACCTCTCTAAAATTCTCTAGGCCCCATTTACATTGCTATATAATGCAGTTTGAAAAGGCATTATATGTTCAACGTAGACGTAACTGTATTACATGGAGTGTAGATGGGGTCTTGGTCCTCCAACACAACTCCCAGATTAACTTTTGCCAGAAGTTAATCATAGCCTAGTATTGGAAGACTCTTAGAGAGAGCATTCTAATCAAATATGTGAATAATCATTTGCAAAAGTCAAACTCCCAAATGTGAAGGGGGCCAACAATAGTTCTACATGCGTTTAAAATTTAAGTTAATGTGAAAAACAATGACCAAGGCATACATACCTCCCAGACTATTTGCAGTAGACTGAGCCAATTCCAAATTTCTTGCAGCAAGAGCCAGGCGATATCCTTTCTGTGCCAGCAGCTGGGCAACAGCCTGACCGATACCACGAGAGCCTCCAAAAATGACACAAACTTTTGACATCTCCAAAGTGTTACCAACCATTAATTGCTAGTGCTCATGGGCAAGATACATATTCATTTCGTACAGATGTGTTTTTTGGTATTGATCTGAGAAGAGGGAGAAGTACAAAATTATTACAAGTTACAGTTTAAATTATAACAAGTTATTGGAAAGAAAATACTCTGCTCAAACAGATGAACTGAATTACAATGGTCTCCCTTCATGAATACAATCTAAAACATTATGCATCTACACTGGACTCAAGAATTTGTAGAGATTCTCTCCAGTAACTCTCTGATGTAATACGAGTATATTTCTACAGGACCACATAGAGATGCACAAACACAAGTATAGATCTATTTGGCAAGTTTACATATTAATTGATATTTATGCAGCAGTCATTGACTCCATGTATTTTGTCTTATTGCAATCCTGAAAGACTGGTATACTGCATAGTTTTGTTTTGCTAATAAGGGCCTGAGGCTGCAAGAGAACAGGTAGGCTGAAGCTGGATCTACAAAGCCTTATATCCCAGGATCTGATCCGATTATCTGGTTTGAACTGGGGGCCCTTCCACACAACTGAATAAAATCCCACATTATCTGTGAATGGAATATATGGCAGTATGGACTCAGATACGGTTCAAAGCAGATATTGTGGGATTTTCTGCCTTGATATTCTGGGTTATATGGTAGTGTAGAAGGGCCCTGGATTATATGAGTCTACACTACCAGATAATCTGGGATAAGAAGACAATCTGGGATCAGATCCTGGTATATAGAACAGTATAGATCCAGTCCAGAATATTCCTGGCGAAGGTGAGATTCAAATATCAGTAAGTGATTTCTGATTTACCACTCAACCTCTTAACCAGAATATATCAGATACCATATTGCGTAATATATGGAAGCTCTGTCTTATTCCAGTCCTGAAAGAGTGATAATAATAATAACTTTATTTATTCCCTGCCTCCATCTTCCCGGACTCAAAGTGGCTAACATGGGGCCTAGCCCAAGCAATTACAATAAAGCAAAATAAAATACATACAAGACACACGACAACATCAAGTAAAAATGCTTATACAATATCATAATGAGTCAATAAAATAGTAACAACATAATAAAACAGTATAAAAACAATACAAGAATTAAACAAAGTCTTAATGGGCCAAGTGCAAGGAGTGAAAATTGTAAAACCTGTGGGCAAGGTAGTTAGATAAAGAGTTGAATTTAGTGAGAGACTAGGGTGGAATAAACAATGAGGTTATTCTCAATTGAGGGATGAGATAAAGTGCATCAGAAAGACAATTGACACTGAGACCGGGCCTGACATAATAATATAATAATAAAACTTTATTTATACCCCGTCACCATCTCCCCAAGGGGACTCGGGGTGGCTCACATGAGGCCAAGCCCGACAATACAGTAGATCAGTAAATCAACACAGCAATAAAAGAAAAAATAAAACACAATAAAAAAGGTAAAGGTTGTCCCCTGACATTAAGTCCACTCATGTCTGATTCTGGGGTGTGGTGCTCATCTCCATTTCTAAGTCAAAGAGCCGGCGTTGTCCATAGACACCTCCAAAGTCATGTGGCTGGCATGGAGCGCCGTTGGAGCGCCATTACCTTCCCGCCAGAGCGGTACCTATTCATCTACTCACATTTGCATGTTTTCGAACTGCTAGGTTGGCAGAAGCTAGGGCTGGCAGCGGAAGCTCACGCCGCTCCCCAGAATCGAACCTGCGACCTTTCAGTCAACAAGCTCAGCAGCTCAGTGCTTTAACCCACTTCACCACCGGGGATCCAACACTGTGAGCAGGGCCAAATCTAATAGATTAAAAATTAAAAAACTGGGTGTGAACAGCAGTAAAATGAATCTAAACAGGGTTTTTTAGAGGATGAGGTAGGGTTGATTCCCCCAACAAGTAGAATAAAGTGCTTCAGAGGATATTTTGCAGAGAACTGGCCAAGACAGGGAATTGTTGTTCTTTTATTCAGGGAAGGCACATTGGAACAACCATGTTTTCAAGCTCCTCCTAAAGACTGCCAATGTGGGGGCTTGCCTAATATCCTTGGGGAGTGAGTTCCAAAGTTGAGGGGCCACCACAGAAATGGCCCTCTCCCTTGTCCCCACCAATCGCACCTGCGAAGAGGGCGGGAGCGAGAGAAGGGCCTCTCTGAAGAGATCGCATGGGTTCGTAGACATGGCAACTAGTTATTCATTCTTCAAAAAGCACACTGGAAAAGCCAAGTTTTTAAACTTTTCCTAAAGGATCATGTGGAAAAGGCATCTCCAGTGAAGCTTTAGCACCAATCCTTGTTTCCACAAGGCACATTTTGCAGAATCCAATTATGACAAGGATTGAAAATGTGGGGAAATCTCCTGAACAGAGGCAGACAGCAAAACAAACACCACAGGGGTGTTAACTCTTTCTTATACTAACCACAGCAATGATGGATAGATGGATAGATGGATAGATAGATAGATAGATACAGACAGACAGACAGACAGACAGATAGGCTGGAGTTATTGCATTGACAGTCTCCCTCAATGCAAACAGGTCACAACCGACACGAGAGGCCTTGAAAGTGCAACTCTTGAGAGTAATCAATGGTTCTGCCTATACAATATGACCTATTTCTCTCAGACATGGCTGGCACATTCCCTGCTTTTCTGAGGTCTCCCTTAAACAGCAAATTACCAATCGACAGAATGTTTGTCTTGTGAGAGAATACATCCAGAAGACAGCAATAGCATTCCCTTCCTTTCTCAATGTGGGTGGAGAAAACAGGAAACAGCCAGTGGCGAGGCTACGAGGTCAGAACTAGACGCTCAAGTGAGCAATGGCGTCCAGTTATGGCTTTGCGCATGCGCAGAACGAGCCCTGAGAGCCGTGCGAAGGGCAAAGCCCCGCCGCGGCCATTTTGGACCCGAGTGCATTCTACTTACCTCCGGAGACACAGAGAGAGAAAGAGGCGGGGAAAGGGGCGGGGCCAGAAGGGCTCGGCCCAATAGGAGACTCGCACGGCAAGTCCCGCCCCCTCCAGCATATCCCCGCCCTCTTCGACATAGCCACGCCCCCTCCGACATACCCCCCGCCCCCTTAAAAGCAGCGGGAAGCATTGAAAGCCTCCTTGTCTGTTTAAAAGCCTCAAAAGAAGGAGATTCCACATTTCTAATAGAGACCTTAATACTGCAGTTATAGCACTAATGGCTCTACCTCAATTGCCACAACAGCATCCCTTGTGGTGCTGGGATTTGTAGTTTGTTGCGACAGGTATATATAAGCTTTGGTTGTTTTGTCCCCAAGGATTCACTAGTCTGTCTTTGTCATGCCACAATATCTCTTCCAAATGGCATTGCTTGTGCATTGTTTGGCATACAGAAATACTGCAAATCCCAGGATTCTATAGATTGCTATCATAGCAATTAAAGCTGAATCTTAGTTATATTTATGCAGTGTCAATGAAGGGCCCTGAATCATGAAGCCACACCAGTGACACAATGTCCCCAGTGGCACAATGGGTTAAACCCTTGTACCGGCAGGACTGAAGACTGACAGGTCGGAGGTTCTAATCTGGGGAGAGAGTGGATGAGCTCCCTCTGTCAGCTCCAGCTTCCCATGCAGGGACATGAGAGAAGCCTCCCACAGGAATGGTAAAACATCAAAACATCCGGGCATCCCCTGAACAACGTCCTTGCAGATGGCCAATTATCTCACACCAGAAGCAACTTGCAGTTTCTCAAGTCACTCCTGACACCAACACACACAAAACAGCAATTCTATTATTATTATTATTATTATTATTATTATTAACTTTATTTGTACCCCGCTAGCATCTCCCGAAGGACTTGGTGTGGCTTACAAAGGCCAAGGCCTCAAACACAACATAACAATACACAACCTAACGCAATTAAAAAATTAAAACAGTTAAAACAAAATTAAACGAGCAATAAACAATACACAAAGACACAATAAAACTGGGCCGGGCCAGAGTAATGGGTACAGGATTAAATATATTTAATACATATAATAGATTTTCTCTCTAGTCCCTAGGAAACACTGAATAAGTGACAACCAATCACAAGAATATTTCTGGCTCGACTTTTGAGAACAATATTTAGGTGTGCTCGATTAAACCCATTTTTAGTCCCAACTTGATTAGATCCTTTGCAATCCATGGGGTTTCCATGTTGCTGTTTTTGTGTGCCTTCGAATACTTTGGGAGGTTTGCCTTTGCAGCTGAGGCTGAGAGTGTGAGGCCACGAGGGTGGGTTTGTGGATAAGCAAGATCCAAACCACAATTTAGGAAGGATATGGACAATCTGTGGAGCCCCTGGTGGCACAGTGGGCTAAACTGCTGAACTTGTTGACCAATATTTATTTATTTATTTCATTTGTATCCCACCCTTCTCCCCACAAAGGGGACTCAGGGCGGCCTCACATAAGCACCAGTGATGCTATCAACATATACAATAAAAAATTCAATTAAAACCATAAAACATTATACATTAACAAATTCAACCAAAATGTCGCTGGTTCAAATTCGGAGAGCGGGGTGAGCTCCCACTGTTAGCCCCAGCTTCTGCCAACCTAGCAGTTCGAAAGCATGCAAATGTGAGTAAATCAATAGATACCGCTCCAGCGGGAAGGTAACGGCGCTCCATGCAATCATGCTGGCCACATGACCTTGTAGGTGTCTACGGACAACGCCGGCTCTTCCGCTTAGAAATGGAGATGAGCACCAAGCACCAGAGTTGGACACAACTAGACTTAATGTCAGAAGAAAGCCTTTACCTTATGGACAAGCTGTAATGCATCCAGAGAAGGGTAGTTGGAATGGCAAAAGGCCTGGAAGCCAAGCTTAGGGAGTTGGGTATGTTTACCTCGGAGAAGAGAAGCTTAAGAAGTGATATATTTAAATATTTGAATGGATAACATATTGTGAAGGGAGGAAGCTTATTTTCTGCTGCTCTAGAGACTTGAACATGGAGCAATGGGTCCAAAATGCAGTAAAAGAGATTCCACCTAAACATTAGGAAGAAGTAGTGATCACACTGGCAACAAAGATCCGCCTAGTCAAAGCCATGGTATTCCCTGTAGTAACCTACGGATGTGAGAGCTGGACCTTAGGGAAGGCTGAGCGAAGGAAGATCGATGCTTTTGAACTGTGGTGTTGGAGGAAAGTTCTGAGAGTGCCTTGGACTGCGAGAAGATCCAACCAGTCCATCCTCCAGGAAATAAAGCCCAACTGCTCCTTGGAGGGAAGTATACTAGACAAAGATGAAGTACTTTGGCCACATCATGAGGAGACAGCAAAGCCTAGAGAAGACAATTATGCTGGGGAAAGTGGAAGGTAAAAGGAAGAGGGGCCGACCAAGGGCAAGATGGATGGATGGCATCCTTGAAGTGACTGGACTGACCTTGAAGGAGCTGGGGGTGGTGACGGCTGACAGGGAGCTCTGGCGTGGGCTGGTCCATGAGGTCACAAAGAGTCGGAGACGACTGAATGAATGAACAACAACAAGTGATGATCAGGGCTGTTTTTTTGGAAATAGCAACCTCCACTAGTTATTTGTTATGTATCTAATTCAGATTGCTTACTGTATTGTATATGTGTGTGTACAGGTATGCAGTTTTCCTTAATTCTATGTTGTGGGAGGGGCTGCAGACCATGTGACCAGATCTGGGAATATTCAGGACTCTGACTCAGTTTTAGAAACAGTATGCTTTACAGAAGTCAATAGAAACAGAATACTTTACAGCAGGGGTCCTCAAAGTTTTTAAACCAAGGGCCAGGTCACAGTCCCTCAAATTGTTGGAGGGCCGGATTATAATTTGGAAAAAGCATGAATGAATTCCTATGCACACTGCACATATCTTATTTGTAGCGCAAAAAAACACTTTATTTATTTATTATTATTTATTTCGGTCATTTCTACCCCGCCCTTCTCACCCCCTAGGGGGGACTCAGGGCGACTTACAATTCGGCACAATTCGATGCCAACAGTTACAATAAAATGCAATAAGAATAACACAATAGTTAAAACAAACAATTAATACAGTGCAATACAATACAATACAATACAATCAACTAAAAACCGCTCTATAGCCCGCGTTCATTGAGTTCTAAAATCCGCCAATCCATTTAGCATTGTCATAGTCCTTTCCAACTCTAGTCATCATTACCTTATTAATCTACCAGATTACCCGAATGCCTGGCCCCATATCCATGTCTTCAGCTTTCTTCTGAAGGAGAGGAGGGATGTTGACGACCTGATTTCCCAGGGAGTGAATTCCACAGGCAAGGGGCCACTATTGAGAAGGCCCTGTCCCTCATCCCCACCAGCCTCACTTGTGATAAAGGTGGGGACGAGAGCAGGGCCTCCCCAGAAGATCTTCAACTCCGTGGTGGGACATAGAAGGAGATACGTTCGGACAGGTACACTGGGCCGGTGCCGTATAGGGTTTTAAAGGTCAAAACCAGCACTTTGAATTGTGCTCGGAACTGGATCGGCAGCCAGTGGAGCTGACGTAACAGAGGGGTGGTGTGCTCCCTGTATGACGCTCCGGTAGGTACTCTGGCTGCTGCCCGTTGGACGAGTTGAAGTTTCCGAACAGTCTTCGAAGGCTGTTTATAGCAATACAATAATTAAAATGAAGAACAATTTTAGCAAATAGAAACTTAATAGTATTTCATTGGGAAGTGTGAGCCTGCTTTTGGCTGATGAGATAGGATTGTTGTTGTTGTTGTTGCTGCTGTTGTTGTTGTGTGCTTTCAAGTCTTTTCAGACTTTGGTTGACCCTGAGGGTGGGCCGGATAAATGACCTTGGAGGGCCGTATCTGGCCCATGGGCCTTAGTTTGAGGACCCCTGCTTTACAGTCTCTGTTAGACCCTCAGACCAGAGAGATGCTTTAGACTTTGGACTGTTGATTATAAGAAATATATCCTGTGTTGTCTACACAGAAAATTACTTCAAATCCATTTGTAACTGAATTGATAAGCAATGTACCTGTACGTTGAATACATGAAGTCTGTGAGTAAACCAGCTATGTCACTTTTAACGAAGACTACCTTTTTTTTGTCTCTTGGGAGCATGATTTAAAAGCACATATATTTTATGGGAGAGTCGAATTTTTGAGGGGCAACTGAAGTAGCGCTTCTGAAACTCTGCTATATGTTTTTTGTGTATTGTCATATCTTTGTTCCTAACAGTTCAAAGAAATATCCAGGTATATCAGTCTAACAGCCGAGAAACCTAATGGCCTTGCATGAATACTAGTGGATATTTACTGCTAAGGCGGAAGTTGACTCAAGCAAGTTTTTAACTCTTCTCAGAAAGATCATACTTTCCCAAAGGTTTGGATCTCTAACAAGATCATGCCTTTCCAAGGGTTATGTTTATTCCATAATCATGAATGCCAATTAATCTAAAAGGATCACACTTCCAAAAGCCTGTGGAGATTCCTGGTTTTCCCAAATGGTTATGAATGTGCCATTTTCCAAAAGTTTGACAGTGGAATATGCTGCCTCTGAGACTTTTTTTTCTGGAGGCTTTTAAGCCGAGGTTGGGTGGCTATCTGTTAGGAGGGCTTTGATTGTGTTTCCCTGCATGGCAGAATGAGGTTGATACTGGATGGCCCTTATGGATATTTTTTTTTTTTTACGATTCTACGAAATCCAGAGTCATGGTTCATTGCTCAAACTACTGCACCACACTGGCTTGGCTTGGCCAAGTTCTCCTTGATTCAATGGGTCTATTTTATAATAGTTGTGTAACAGTTGCACCTAGATCAGTGTGGGCACCATATGGATGTTGAACTGGAACGTACAACATTTCTCAACATTTGCTGGGAGTTGCAATCTGTCAATATGTAGAGGAGCACACAAATCTTGCCTGTGGTTAATGGAAAGAAGACATGGTTTCCTTCC